GCCCCCGCCTTCCCCGCCTGCCGCCGCTGCCGCCGCTGCTGCGCCGCGCCACCCCCACTCGTCCCTTGTGGCGCAGTTTAACTTCTGTAGAGTCCTGGGCCTGGCGATTTATCGTTCCAACTTAGAGAGGGTAATTTAATAAATCCTGTTTCATTTCTCTTCATTTTTCCTCACTAGTGAATGTTACCTGCCCGCACCGGAATGGCTCGACTAATCAGGAACCTTTGTGTTCTTCCCACTATTCGTTTTCCTCCGTTAGCCAAAAACACTTTAAATAAAGCTCTTTCTAATTTGTTTTCTTTTTCCGTTACTCTTGCAGACGCTGGTCGCTGTTCCGACCGTCAGGACTACAACTGCAGCTATGCGCTCCGCGTCGCACAACTCTTCAGCTTCCTCACCTCGTCTACCTCGAAGGGGTTCCAACGACGGCTCGGGAAAAGGTGAGCTTTCAAATGATGTATTATTTGTTCTCGTTTATCGGCACTACCAAGTTAGTTTCTTGAATCACTGATGCAGCTGTCTTTGTGTTCCAGCCCTACCACGACGACGACGACGACCACGACCACCACCACCACCACGACGACCACGACCACCATCACCACCACCACCACCACCACCACCACCACCACCACCATATGGGATGAATCATCACGCCTATCTGAGCAGTCAATCCGTTCAATTCTTCAGTCGGCCCCTTTCAAAGGTATGTCTCATGATTATCGTTTACTGTACTTGTTACCAATCGGTATTGATTCCTTTTGTTAAAATATTTGTAGTTAAAGCTACTTTCAACTTGTGATTTTTTAGTTGAAAAGTTGGTTTTGTTTGTGGACACTCTACTCTAACTAATTATATTTTTGCGTTTATGTTCCAGTCGATATTTTAAATTTGCTGTGCAAGACAACGGAAGCCATCGTACTTCATTGCCAAGACAAGACTAAGGAAGCCATCGTACTTCATTGCCAAGACAAGACTAAGGAAGCCATCGTACTTCATTGCCAAGACAAGACTAAGGAAGCCAACCAACGTACCTCAATGCCAAGACAATCATCAAACATTCATTTTTCATTGCTTTCACTCGTCTGTTTCTCTACTGACAAGACTTTTACTCTTAACGGATTTCCTCCTCCCATCCTTCTGTCTTGACTCGTAGACCATGTGCATGTTCTTGTGGATGGTGGTAATTTGTGGTAGTGTATAGTAATTTCCTTGGGTATGGTGTGATTGTGCTTGGGGTGTTTTTGTGAGGTCTAGTTAGTTTTGTGTCTCCCTTGACAACTTGAAATCCTTGACTCTATTTTCTTTGCATCTTACACATATGTCATTCATTCAGAGTAAAAACGTCAATTCAACCAACTGCTGTTATAGTGAGCTTTCATTTAGATACATGTTCTCATACAAAAATTGTTATAATTTGGCGCATCTTTCAAATCAACTTATTTATTCCTCAAATTTACAGAATAAGTGTAATGAATCCCTGATCTTGCCAATGCATCCAATGTTATTTTTTCAACCCTAGTTTTATGAAGTTCAATTGTACTGAGCTTTACGAAGCAGTTTACATAATTGTCAATTTAACACTAAATTGATGACACATTGTAAACAGTTGCCAGCAATTGTACTTTTGTCATACTCCGTTTTCTCTTAAATACATTATATTGTGTTCGCTAATTCTTTGGCTCTTTACTTTCTGTAATGTTTTTTTGTTCAGACGCGCTCTAAATTCTTTTGTTGTGGGGCACCAAAGAACACAGTCTGTAGGTTGATAAAAATAAACTTTTCGTTGTTTATTTTCTCGCTTTTCTCGCTTCTCATCCTTGCTCACTTTTCTAAGTATTGTAAAGTCGTGGCCACGTCACGTTTGTAGCTACTCAGTTGTAGCTGCAACCGACACAGGCAGCTTTATCAGAACCGACTGTCATCGTAAATGCTCACGTCCCTGTTTGTGGCCACAATTCCGGTGGCCAGAGCAAGCTTGATTCGACCCGGCCATAGAAGATCTTTTTTCGTCCAACATGATACCCGACGCCCCCAAGGTGTAAGCAGAAGCCAAGTCACTGCTGTGCAGATAAACCGTGACAAGCCGAAAGCCCCGGATGCGACTAGACAAATACTATGGGGCGCGGGAGCCGCCAACCCTAAGAGACGACTAGTGACTAGTGTAATGATCGCCTACCCCCTCCCGCCCCCAGGCGCTCACAGCCACTGTAACGAGTATGTTACATTTTTGTTTGTGAACCCTGAGTTGCCTTGGCCGGCCGCGCAGGGACTCTGTAACCTCGCCCTCGCCTTAGTCGGCCGTGGCGAGACGCCTGGCGGGTAGGCAGCCCCAATACACATCGGTATTGCGGGCTGGCCTGCCTTGCCCCTGGCAGCTGAGCGGCGCGCCGTAGGGCGGTGACGAGGTACTTCTCGGCCTCGCCAGGTGTCGCTGCTCATGCTGCCCTCCCCCCTCTCCCCGCGAGGTTTCTTGGTTGCATCGGCGCCAGCTAACCGTTGTCCTCTTGCACCCGACCCTCAACACCAACACTGGTATGGTCCTGTGTTGTGGCCGTCGTGCCGTGCGGCGACACTTTGTTATTCTGCTAATAACTATTCGACCGTGTCGTGTGGCACAGAAACTCACCACACCAGTCCCCAGCTCCACACTGGAAATCCAAGTGAACAAATGTCGCACACGCAGGGGTTTGTAAAAATTCACACACTTGTAGGTGAGCGAATAAAAATTTATACACTTGGAAAGGTTTACTCACCTACATTAATTTTGAAAATTAAGCAAGCACGGGAAAAAAGTCTGCCTCACCCGTATCTGCGACGGGCCCCGCGCAGCTATTGGAAGCTACTTAAACGGATCGAAGAGGACTTGGTTGTTGGACTTACGGGTGTCGCAAGGTGAGCAAGACTGAAACCCAGATTCAGAGGCCTTCCCATCAGGGGTACGCGGGATTCGAACCCACAACACCGAGTGCTGAGTCAATTTGACAGTTACAGCGACCCTGCCACCAGAGCTACCCAGCCAACGGAGGTGAGCCGTGTTCCAAGTCTACTCGAACTTCAGGTCGGCCCTGAGGCCTTACACCAACGCCAAGCGAAGAGCGAAAATTGTTGCCGGGCCTGGAGTCGAACCGTCGACCTTCCACGCTCTGGGCGGGCGCTCTACCGACTTTTTTGTTTCAAAAACATCTTTATTCATAAAATTTTTAACAAAAAACTCAACAGCTATAAACATTAGGTTGCCGTTTGGCATTAAAATTATTTTTACGAATGGTAAAAGTTAAGCATTTAACAAGCATTTAACAACTGAAATAAGTTTTTGTTTAGTTTTACACTGATTCATTTTGTCTTTTCTTTGATTCTTTAATAGCTGAACATCTAGGTGT